ATCAACTTCAAATACGAAACAAATAATAGAAATCCTAATTAACTCCTAATAGGATACAAATTATAGAAATCCTAATTAACTCCAAATAGGAAACAAATCAATAATATTAAAAATAATAAATATTAATTAAGCAGCTTGCAACCAGCCCAGAAGGTGGGCTCAAGCCCGTCCCCACCTTCAGTAAACCCACAGAGGTTTCTGTGCCTCTTCTTCCAAGCCCAAATTCTGCTTCATATCAATTCCATCCCCCTTCGAAAAAATTTTGTCCTCAAGGTTGAAGTCCATAATCCGGCTGACAATTGTTCCCAGGGGCTGCCTAGTATCTTTAGGAAAAATTGAGATGTACTCCTCCACAGTCCCTATTTGCTTGCCTCCAGACAATCGTTCAAAGTGATTGCCCTTAAACTGTGAGTCATAACGAGCCATCGTCTGTGTAAGCTCATCCCATGACATGCCCGGCCTTCGTGCCCATATCCAGGTCAACCGGTATAGGGCTGACCCTTCCATCGCAACTACAGTTGCTGCCACCTTCTTTCCTGACAGAGTACAGTTCAATTCGAACTGTTTCTCAGCCCTATGAACCCAGCTGATCGGTTTTTCTTCGTAAGACAAGGGCAACGTCGTGAGAAAGGTGCTGCACAGTCCAATTCCGAATGAGGATGCTGCTGCCACGTCGAGTGAAGTCACCGCCGTTGAATGCTCCTCCGCCGTTGGCAGTGCGGGAGTCATTTTTAGCACAGCCAAGGAGGAAGTGACGTTGTGCAGCTGTTCGTCACCTCTGTGCGCAGATACCAATGTTCTAAAAGGCGCTAGGCGCTAGTCGGGCGCCAGCCCAGCGCCTAGCGCCTAGGCGGTTAGGCGGGCGCCTAGTCGGGGACTAGTCGGAACATAGAAATTACATTTTTGTCTCTATTTTTGCATAAATATGATAAGTAATATTGTATTCTAGTGTGAATAAAATACATATATACACATACATTAACAAATATGAATGATAGAATTATCACATTTAATCAAACGGAGTATATGATAACTAAACACTTATTAACATCATTATGTTATAAACATAAATAATAATAAAATTTAGGTGTATATACAAACATATACGTAGTATAGTCTTTATCTTAATTTACAACTTCATTTTTTTATATCCGTGGCTAAAGTTAAAGTACTTATATCGCTTAGAAAATTAAAACTGAGATGTAAAGTAATGTTCAACGAATCTAGACAGCCTAGGCGGCCGATTAGGCGCTCTGGGCAGGCAACTAGGCGCCATAAGCGGCCAACTAATTCACTTAGACGGCAAACCAATTAATCGGAGCGCCTAGATGAAAATCGGGGCGCCCGGCCACCGCCTAGCGCCTAGGGGGGACTAGTCAAACGCCTAGAACGATTTTTAGAACAGAGGCAGATACGGTGGGGCTGCCAACCGTGTCCAATCTTGTTTCCGTCGTGACTGGCGGAACGAGTGCCTTGGTAAGCACTGCCAGGGATGCGGCGATCTCTGCCCGACGCATGTCGTGCTCCTCTAGGGTTTGATTCATCCGAGTTTTCTTGGCTACCATCTCTGACAAACGTTCACTGATAGATCTCGTCATTCCAACGGAACGGGATCCGGTAGGTTGGACCAATTGTTATGTAACGGAAAAATAAAATCAACGGGGTAAACCGTTGCCCAGATAATCAACGATAAAAATACCGTTGCCCAGAGCCAAAAGACAAAAATCAATTTTATTCCAAGATGACCAAGAATGAATCCTAACAAGGGGTTTAAATACCCATCTACTAATTCTCAAACTAAAAAACAAAATTCTAGAAATCTTAATCAACTCCAACTAGGAAAAAGAATAATAAAGATCCTAATCAACTTCAAATAGGAAACAAATAATAGAAATCCTAATTAACTCATAATAGGAAACAAATAATAGAAATCCTAATTAACTCCAAATAGGAAACAAATCAGGAATATTAAAAATAATAAATATTAATTAAGCAGCTTGCAACCAGCCCACGAAGGTGGATTCAAGCCCGTCCTCGCCTTCAGTAAACCCACGGAGATTTCTGTCCCTCTTCTTCCAAGCCCAGATTCTGCTTCATATCAGGAGGGGCTTTCTTTAAAAGACTGGGTGAATGAAATCTTTAGTTGCAGGGACATGGAAGCTTGTTGTAAGTTCTTGATGTATCTCTGGAGTATATGGATCAGGCGAAACGAAAAGATGCGGAATAATAGGCATTTATCGGCACCGAGTGCAGCAGCCACCACTACTGCCTTTTTGGAAGGCTGGCGTAGAGCTTAAAGGCTGACAGAAAGGGTTGAGAGAGGAGGTCCAGGTTCCGCTACATGCATGGGTGTTCCCGGAAGAAGGACGAATTAAACTAAATACGGATGCAACGATTAAAAGCGGAACAAGAGTGATTGCATTGGTTTTTGAGTGTTTATATTTTTACTTTTAATTAGTTTTTACGGTGTGTTGTTGTGGTAATTGCACATTTATGGTGCAATCATTTTATTTTTCTAGTTTGTTGTAATTTAGTAAATTTAGAATCATTCTGAGCAAGAATCAATCAAGAATCAACAAAGGATCATGGAAAAATCTTACAAGATCAAAGGAAGGTGCAAGGGAGCAAGAAATCATGCAAAAAATGTGATTTGGTATCATACCCGGTCGGGTATTATCAATATCCAGGCGGGTATGACTTGACCCGGAGATTTACAAGATCAAATAAAGAAAGAGAACGTGTGAAAATCAGATTTGATCAAATACCCGGTCGGGTATTTTGATATACCCGGTCGGGTATTCTACCAAACCTCACCAAAACACCTATAAATACACCACATTTCCTTCCCATTTTGATATCCCTTCTTCCATATACTTAAGCTCAGTTTAGAATAGTTATTTCTTATATTTTTATAGCATGTTTAATCTCCAAATGAGGAGCTAAACTTCCATTTCTTGGTTTTGCTCTTGAAGCTTGTTGATTATTAAAGTTGTGAGTTATTTTGTTAACTTCTTCTCTTGATTATTAATTCTTACCTTAATCTCATTCTATATTAATGTTGGAGGGTTGCTAAGTGACGATTAGTTAACATTCCGACATTAATTATTACTAGAAACGACCAACGAACCGATGGTTAATCATTGATGGTTTCACAAGTAACTTCGGTTTATTAATGCACGGTCGTGGTTAATAAATTTAAGAGGGATTAATTTTGTTGGTTAAACCGAAACCGTTGTGTCAAGGTTATCAATCTCAATTGATTTCATCAAGGAGTTAAAAAGATTAAATGCTACTATTAAATCGGTACACGACGTTGTTCTATATTTGATTAATAGTAAGGGTTGTTAATGAACGGTCGTTGTTAATAACTACCCTCGATGAATTGGATATCTCCTCGATTGAGTATTCGAGAGGGGATACGTTATAGATATAACAAGGATTGACTAAAATATATCAACAAGTGGAAAGTAGCAAAGCCAAGTCCCTTTTATTCTTGAATTAAATCTCACATAAGTCGTTCATCTTCGTGTTTAATTAAATTAAATCACTCAATCCCAAAACCCCCCTTTATTTACTAGTGTTACTAAAAAGAGAATTATTCTTTTCCCTGTGGATACGAACTCTGCTTCACCTATACTACGTATAAAGTGCTAGTATCGAATTTATTTTGACGCACTACGACGAAGTGCTCGTCAAGGAGCTACCGATATGGGATGGGTAGTTCGGAACGGTACGGGATGGACTTTTTTTGGCAGGTGGTGTGCTATGTAGAAAGAGGGAACTTCTCCCTGGTGAGGCAGAAGTTTTATCTACGCGGGAAGCATTAAGTTGGCTGAAAGAAATTGGTTGGGATTATGTTGACATAGAATCAGACGCTATTAATTTGATTAAGAGTATCAAGATGGGGGCAACAGAATCATCTTTCGGCCTCATTGTTGAAGAAATTAGAGAACTTTCGACTAATTTTTCTAGTATTATGTTTTCTCATATTAAGCGGTCAGCGAATTGGTTAGCCCACCGTCTTGCAAGGGCAATTGTTTATATGTATAATCGCTATGTTTGGATGTCTTTTCCTCCGGATTTTATTCAGTTGTATTTGGACAATGATTTAGTGAGCAATAATAGTTAATATTTTTCCTTTAAAAAAATCATATCATACCACAAAGCTTGAACTAGATTAATCATTAATGGTTTTATTTCTATTCTTGTGTGTGTAGACTCTAAATAGGAGCTACACTTTTTCATCTGAGTTTTTGCAATATTGAAGCGTATGACTTGTAAGTTATAAATCATTTTTTCAATCATTCTCACCTGATTATTAATTGCATTCCTAATTTTATTTCAAATTGATATATGAGTGTTGCTAAGTGATCAATTATATATGTTCTCATATTGATTATTACTAGAATGGATCAATGAATTATATTATTCACCTGATCATTTTATGAGTACTAATGTACTTTAGACTACTAATCTATAGTCTTGTAGTTAATAATATAGGGAGAATTAGTTGTATTGATTAAACTCAAATTTGTGTGTTGAAGTTGTCAATCTTAGTTGATTTCTTCGGAAGATAAAGGGCTAATATCTGGTCAATATAAGACGGTATTCTAGATTGACCAATAGTACAAGTTATTAATATTAAGTAATAACTCGTACAAATGGAGATAGTTAAAATAATAATCTTTTGTGTTCCTAAAAAATGAATTGTCTGCACACAAATAATTTTCTTTACTAAAATGGAAATAAATGTTTATGCACATACAAAATACATTTGGTGCACATTTTTGTTTCAGTATCTCTGCGTATATGTGTCCGTGCAACATAACTTAATTGACTGGTTTTTCCTATTTCGAAATAGTGCCATTATTTGTTTAACATTTTTAAATGAGGAGAATATTACGTAGTATTGTCTTGGAGTCTTTGAATGACTTATGGCCTACCATTTCCAAAGTTATCAACCAGCATTTATACCATTCAGACCGTTAGGTATCTTATACGAAGTACTGTATAGTGTATACTTCGTACTATCTTCAAATGAAGAAAAGTTTATTTGGCTCGGCGAGTTTTGGCGGAACAAAGCTAGCTTGGGAAATGTTCGTGAGAAGCCCAGTAATAATATTCATAACAGTAATCTACGCCATCTCATGCTCAAATTGCTCCCTTTCTGATGATGAGCGAACTGTCATCAATGTAGATCAGTTCGGCACTCAAGGAGATGATGATTCCCAAGTATGTATCTGTCAGGCCACATTATATGATAATTTATAGCTTGATATTAATTTCATGGAGTTTAATAGGCGTTTCGAAGAGCTTGGGATATATTTTGCCATACAAAAGCGGGATTGCTGTTGATTCCTATGGGGACGTATTTTCTGAAGCCAATCTCTTTTGATGGACCCTGCAACCCGAATCTGACAATGAAGGTGACCTAATGTTCTTCGTAAGAGCCTAAGTTTAGAATATATACTTAGCTACTGATTAATTTTCTGTTTTTTTTCCTGTCCAAAATGGCCTGGATTAGATAGAAGGGACAATTAAAGCTTGGCCGGACAAAAGAGAGTATGAAACTAGTGGGAGGCTAAACTGGATGCTTTTTCGGGGCCTGCACTACTTCAATGTTGGAGGGGGAGGCACCATAGACAGGGGCGGATCTAGGAAAACTTGTTATTGGGGGCATCACCTAATGTACATCAAAAACTTGTTGTAGCACTCTGTAACAAATGCTAATGCTTATTATGTACTAAAATTAAATAGATTAGTTTAAAATTGAGCACTTCTCCTTATGGTTGTGTGAGACACTTTTATCATTTTAATTGTATTTGATTAAAACAGGCCTTAATTAATGACAAATGTTACTATATTGAATTTTGATAAGCACATAACTTCTTTTATGTAGCACACTACTCCCTTCTTCATACTAAAATTGTCTCATTATCCCTTTTTTGTTATGTTCCATTAAATTACATCATACCAAATATGACAATATTTGTATGATTTTAAATCAATCATACTTATTTTTTACATTATCAATTCAAAGTTATTCACATAATTTTACTTTTCCTAATAACCATATTATCAAACATAAATCAAACTTAGAGCCCGTTTGGTAAAACTGAAATCGATTGAATAGGGTGATTCTTCTGAAATTTATGAAAATTTTGACTGAAGTCGTTGTATTGATTGATTCTGCTGATTTTTGAAAAAATTGTATTTAAAATTGTATTAATAAAATAAACAAAAAAATTATGAAAAATAGCTAAAATGATCATCTACTGTAACTTCAAAAATAACTTCAACCTTACTTTTCTCCTATTACTACTCATTTGAACGTGCAAAATCAAAAGTTGTATGTTTAGTTAAAAAGTTGGCTGATAAGCTTAATAAGCCGAAAATTAGAGTCATCAAACGGGCTTCTATAACGAGGATGAAAGTAGTATTTATAACTTGAAACAAAATTAAATTTGGAAAAGAGCATCAATGAAATGGGAATTCTTCCTTGAATAAAGAGCCTACTCTCCTGCTTACATTTCTAAAATTAATTAAATAACCACTACCTAAAAAGTAAGTAAATATACAACCTATCATACTAGTCATTTTCTGTATAAAACTCTTGTAACTTGGTAAAAGTATATACTCGGTATTTATTTGTATAGACAAAGTAAATTACTCATTGCCTTTTCCTTGTAGAGATATAAGCTAATGGGGGCCTTTATATTTTTCATTGGGGGCACATAGCTTTGTTTATATTTTTAAATTAGAACAACTACACTAAATCCAAAGAAAAGTAAGATTTTATTGGGGGCATGTGCCCCCATTAAACAAAACGTACATCCGCCCCTGACCATAGATGGCAATGGGAAACACTGGTGGAAGCAGTCTTGCAATTCCTTGAACAACCAGCTGCATTCAGTAAGTTTGAATTTTAAAAATAGAAATTCCTCTATAATGAATCATGCCATATACGAAGTCTAAAAATATGACCAAGTATGTTTTATTTCCCATATGGGACTTATTTAGCCCTATTAAAAGATAATTTGATTAAAACTTCCCACCCAAAATAGGAGTGAATGAGTCAAATTTCAGGAATAAAACAATAGTAGTACTATTTATGAATTTTATCCTTGTTTAGTCCTATTTAGGGAATTCTCTCTTTAAAAAAACACTTATACGTAGTATTTATTAAATAAAACAGTTAAGAATAAGCACATGTTAGCTACTACTTGTTTCATTCATAGTCCTTACCAAACTACACTAAACATGTTTTCACTTGAACAGAAATTTTCACGCCTCATTTGAGCTGGCTGGGTTGTCTGTATAATTCAAGTCTTGACTTGTCTGTTTAGGTTTGTTCTGTGTATTTTACCATTAATTGTGTCTGAGTTATCTCACCTTGTGTAAATGTGAATTAAAGAATTGTGTAGACACGTGCATATTCCAACAGACTAAATCAGATAAAAATATGTTTGTTTTTTTTTGAAAGACGGATAAAAATATGTTATGGTTTCATTTTTTTTGTTTGGATTGTGTTGACACTTCATTCCTGCTTGCTCTTCTTTTGTTTCTGCAGCAATGTGATAACGGTTCAATACCATTTGTAAGTTATCCTTCTTACCTGAATCTATAAAACACATCTGAGGACTGGTTAGCGGTTGATATTGGATTCACCACTATCCAGGTGGAATCTGTACATTAACTTTATCATTTATATTTCATTATCACTGACATTATTTAAACTATGCTGTGTTGTGTTTTTGTCTTCGGGATATAGTCAGTCATGTTTGAGAATTGCACGAACTTGAAGGTGGAAAACTTATGGTTCAAAAATGCGCAAAAAATGCATCTCACTTTAAATATAACTCGACATGTTGAAATCTCACGGATCAATATTGAAGCTCCTTATGACAGCCTTAACACCGACGGGATTCATATATCTAGGAGCCACAATATTAGTATCACCAATTCAACCATTAAAACAGGTAAACAATGTCGGCTTCTCTTAACCACTTTTTTCTTTTTGCAGAAATATAGTAGCTATCGTAATTGAAATGGGACAGCTATTCAATAGATCACTACACATTACCTTTTATTTTGTTGTGCTGCCATTTTATAGCATTGTTAGTGTTCGTTGAGTTTAGCACTACCCCTTAACTTGGAAGAGCGTAATTAGCCGAGGACTAACTGTTCAAACTGCTGCCACCACTCAATATAGTGCAGCCCCTCGTATCCATCTACCACTTACCAGTGGGCTCTACACTATTGTAGACTAGTAGTTGGAGGAGTCTACATTGACTTTGAGGCTACATAGAGAAGTGATTGTTTAGAGAGTGTTAACATACTTGCAATTACATTTTAGAAGGATGTAATAGTCATTTAACTTCAGAAGTTGAGCCGATATGCACACAATGGTTGGCTCAGTTGTAAGTTTGTCGAATGAGGTGAATTTATCATACGGTAGGTACTAATGTTACAAAGAAAGAGTGATGTGTTTATAACATATTTAGGATCATTTACCTAATCTTTCGGATTCAATGTTAAATGTTTGGTTGATTGGACCAAGAGCATTGAGTGACTCAACTTGATATTGAATTTTGTCAAACCGTGGCAGGTGACGATTGTATTTCAATAGTGAACAGAACATCATCTGTTAGAATTCTTGACATTAATTGCGGGCCAGGGCATGGAATCAGGTAATCCGTAATCAGGCTTTTGGACATGCTAGTTTCAATCATCTTCCACTTGAGTGATTTTACGTTATTACAGTTGATCAGTTTTAAAGCTATGTTTCTTGTGTGTGAGCATATATAGTATTGGGAGCTTAGGTCGACTAGGTAATCAAGAGACTGAATCTGTTTCCGACATTGTAGTCAAAGGAGCCAAATTTAAAGGAACAAGTAATGGGGTGAGAATAAAGACCTGGCAGGTATTTATAGTCACTTTTAAAATTCTTAAACTACTACAGAGTATATATTTTATGTATATATATTTACCATTTCAGAAACAATATTACACCGTGAAAGGGTGTGTACTTTTCAAAAATTGTGTAGGAGTGTTGATTTGTTCAATCCTATATCAGTTAAATATATGAGAACGTCTTAAGCTCTTTTAATCATCAGTGAATCCAGTCATTATATTTATTTACGTACATTTATCATCCTCCAAGGTTGTAATCAATTGCATATGTACAATAGGGAGGGAAAGGAATGGCAAACAACATTACATTTGAAAACATCGAAATGGATAATGTGATGAATCCCATAATCATAGATCAGTTCTATTGTGCAAAATTCGGAATAGGTTCCTGCGATGAGCAGGTAATTAATTGCTCATTAGTCCAATCATGTTTTGTTTTAATTATCATGAACTTAATTATACGTTAAAGAATTGATTATTTCTCTATTTTTTGGCAGAAAAACGCTGTAAACATAAGAAGTGTCCTATATAAAAACATAACAGGAACAAGTGCCAGTGATGTGGCTATATTATTCAACTGCAGCAAAACGTATTCATGCCAAGATATAGAGTTGGAAAATGTGACATTAAGTGGCGTAGAAGAACAACAAGAAGTCAAGGCTTCATGTTCACTAGTTCTTCCAATCATTGAAGGAGATGTCTCTCCACGTTGTGTTTGAGATCGTCATGCCACCGCCCCACTTCCGCTTTGAATTTCAATGCTTAAGAATTTTTAGTAACACCCATTCATAATTTCATTCTTGTTGAAGTGATGGACTGCCTCAACTTATTGTCCACATTTTAATGTTGAAACTACTATACTTCAAATTCTTATGTTGTTAAGTTCCATCTAAAATGATTGTCTGGGGGATTTCCGGGAGAGGGAAGGAGAAAAGTCATATTTATGTTTAAAATAATTTTTACATTTAGAAAAATGAAATAAAGTGAACAAAATAGTATATAAAAATAGATGGTCTGACTAATTATATATGAGTAGTTTTATGTAGTCTAAAACTAACAAATTGAGATAAATTAATAAAGTAAAAAATCAATCCTCCCCTCCTATCTCCTCATAAATCCCCTAACCAAACCGGCCCTAAAAGAGAGGTTCCCCCAGAAATTCCTCTAGCACACAAATTCAGTGCCAGGGGTAGAAACGGGCAGGTTCCCCCACGCCCTACTCCAAACCAGTATTTTCAGGAAAAGTCCAGACCAAAACCCAGACCTTAATAAATAATAAGTCCAAAGTGGGTGATTTATCTTCCCAATTCCAGAACCAGTTGCACCTAGGGGTGGACAAGGTCTCGGACTGGTTTTCAAATTCCACATCAAAACTGAGACAGGGTGCGAGTTCGGGTGACTGGACCGGCTGGTCACGATCTCGGTCTGATTTTTGTTTTTTTGCATTACCAATTTAGAACTATCAGGAAACAACTTAAAAGCTTAAAAAAGGGCTATGAAGGGAGTGTGGAAGGGCATTAAGCGTTTTAAAAAAATGTGACTGCAACCGACAGGTGAACCAGAATCAGCCCGGAACCGGAAATGTAGGTCTCAGTCTCAAAACTGACTAATTATTTTTAGGACCAGAACCGGCCCGCATCCATGCCTAGTTGCACACTTGCACCCCTGCTCTGCCCTAACAAAAGCCCCATTTTATTATTTATTTCTTGGGTGAAACAATTAAGATTGCAATAATATGCATATTTTCATAATCATGAGGTGAAGACGTGAAGTGCTTCTCAATTTAACCAATACATGGTCTCAAAAATACGTACAGTACTGATATTTCAAACTTCTGCTACCAGAACCAGCAGAATTTGTTACAGAATGCTGTATTCATTCAAGTATTTGAATCCACACAAGAATTATACAGGTATAAGGATCACCGTGTTTTACAAGCAGCACCCAAACAAAAAATCACATGTATGGATATGCATGTGTAACTAAACAGGACTATCACTTACTAATCCCGAATAGTTAGGCCTATGCAAGCTGCGATGAATCAGTTATAGCATAGCAAAGTAAGAGTGTCTAACTATCTAGGAATACAGCGTTTCTTCTTCTCTGATTCTATATGGAGTGGGCAGAATGCCCTTAGCGATGGTAAAAGCATTTGAAGAGCCAGTTGTCATCTCAGCAACAGGAGAGTCCAAAACGTAGTCAGGTATGGCCACAATTGACTCCTCAAGAAGGGATTTTACAGTCTGCAAGTGTGAAACCCCATTATTTTAACAAATCGTGAATCAAAAGAAAAGGAAATGAAAAAGAAAAAAAAAATTGAAGAGTACACAACAACAACATATAATGGAGAAGAAATTCTGCACAGTACTAATGAGGAATTGAGTACCCCAATTAAATACTAAATAAGAGGTGGCCTGTTAAATCCCTTTCAACCTATCAGCGACTCACCACACACAAGTACGCACACAAGTACACACACATGTACACACACAAATCTTATTAGCCAGTCCTGTAAGGAATCCCGTCAGGCCAACTTCATTTTTGGCAAAAAGTGAATTCAATGATCCAGCTTCAACTGTTAGATCTTAAATTGTTTTTTGAAGGTAGACCCCAAAAACTCACTTTTCTTTGGTTATCTAACAATTGACACTAATAATTAATTCTAATGAGTAAAAAAATCAAGATTCCATCCAGATGGATAGATAAGATCTCTCCCCTCCATCCCTCTCTCTCTCTCTAATCTATACACACACACACATACGCATATAGTTGAAGGGACAATGTGTCCAGCAAAACCACAAACTAGAAGAAAAAGCAGTGTAGGATACATACAGTGCAGTGTTGGAAAGCAGCATCAACTTTGCGCTTCCAAAGACTATTTCCAGGCTCTGAATAAAACAGACCAAGCAAAGGCTGCATTTTACCCCCATTGAACTTATCAGATTATGGAGGAAAACGAAGGCACAGATCATAACATCCAATTCTGACAAACAAATCATATTTATGAACATAATAAGGAAACACATAGGACATGCATGTTCCAGCCTATATTTCATAAAGCGCTAATAAGTGTAGCAAACATATTTGCATTCTATGCGTGCAAACTATGTTACTATGAATATGAAGTTGTTAATAATAATAATAATAATAATAATAATAATAATAATAATAATAATAAATCTAAAAGGCAAACTAGTCTTGTACCTTGACAACATCCCTGATGGTGGGTCCTTGTCCATATATTTTCAGCACTGAATCTCCATAAGCCTGATACTTCTCCAGGACCTAAGTAGGTATATGAGAGATTAGGGCGTGTGCACGAAAAATGGCTATCAGATGCACAATATAGAAGCTATTAAGTTCGAGACGGCAAAAGGTTCACGAAAAGCTTCAGTGAATGTTATCAATTTCACAAAATGCCCTTCAAATGAGAGTGTCCGAGTTATCCTCAATCATAATCTTGAAGAGTGATTTCTCTATTTCCTGAACCCCCCCCCCCCCCATTCCCTCAGCCTTTCTCTGCCCATATCTATACTCATATAGAAGGAAAAGTTCTGGAAAAGAACCTGTCGGCGGGTCAGCTCGCTACGCGGTGCACCATATACTGCGCTATCAACATTTCCTAGAAGCTGCCATGGACTGTCAGAAGAAATAGGTCAATGCCACCACAACTTATATGCCATTTTTCATGGCAATGCAATCACTTTCTCCGGTTAAAAGGAATATGTGAACTGGGAGAGTATTAATTTACAAATATTTGGAAATTTAAAGTTTGCCTCAGAGAAGTCTTCACTAGGTATTCAATTAAAATAACAATATAACCAGTAAGTTCTTTATTATTTGAAACAAGTATGTATCAGTGAAATTCAACTAGAACTGTGGTTTTCCTTATCGTGTACACATGACAAGTCCAAAATTCCAAATAAATACTGAAAGAGCATACTTGTTGTATACTCCACGTCCTACCATCACCCCATGAGCACCTTCGCTCCGAGCAGCATTTATCTGTAAATTGGGGTTGTCTTATTGGTTAAGGACCTAAGTGAATAAGATATATAACAAGGGACTATGCTCGCTCTTCCCTAAAACAAGAAAGTTATTAAATCAATCCAAATTAACAGTGGCAACCTATAACAATGAGGAAAAAGGTTCTACATATATTTGACATAAACAGATAAACAATCTATACCACGCATTTGTGAAAATGGGATAAAGTCTCACAAGTCAAAGTTAAACTTTGGTCTCCATAAAGAATAACAGACCATAAACACAGACAAATTAAGAAAAAGAAGCACATTTTGTTTTAAAATGTATTACCTCATTAATGGTATTTATGCCACCATTTATTGTAAACTGCAGATCAGGAAAATCACGCAAGAGAGCATAGAAATACTCATATCTGCACGAGAATAAGTAACAGTAGCACACTGTATATATAATCTAATCACATTCATTGAATAGAAATATGCTCTACAATTTGAATCCATACTTGAGGGGAGGTATTTTTCGATTATCCGCCGGACTTATTCCATTAAGTAGTGCTTTACGGGAGTGTATAATAAAGTGGCGAGTTGGAGACTGTGAAGAAACTTTGTAAATGAAATCGCCTGTAAATTTAAAAGAGAAATACTCTGTCAGATTCCATTAAGTCCCTGGCATATACTCTGCAACAGATATTAATGAAAATATGAGTTATATATAGCTGCAATGAATCCAACTGCTCACACAAAGATAAAAGCTTATAAAGTTGACAGTTGATTTGATAAACTCAATGTGATTTTATTTGTATGAGTGTATAGTTGGCTAGTTGCACCCTTAAAAATTCACCAAATGAATCTCTTAAGCACTAAGGTGTAGTTTGGTCAACTGTAATAACATATACAGAGTAATATTTAGTGTAATTTACATTACACTTGCCTTTGTCTACACTACATTTGTCATTACTTATTAGATCTTACTAAACTATATATATTTAAATGTTTCTAGGTTATCTTTCTTATATTGAAACAGAAACAGAAAAAAATGAGATAGCTTACAGAGTTCGTGGTATGAATCATGGTCATCAACTCCTATTCTGCATTTAACACTAACAGGCACATTTGTATGAGAAGCAATAACTGACATAGCTTCAGCAACAAACTTCACTTGCAATAAAGACAATAGTAAATTAATCAAACGATCTGAATACACACACATGTAATAGAACCAAATATATAGTCAAGCAAATACGCTCACACCTTTGGATCAAGCATGAGGCGGGCCCCAAAACACCCGTGTCCAGCTACCCTGGGGCTGGGGCATCCACAACTGCAAAGATATTTAAAAAAAAATCTTGGTCATTTATGCACGGGAAGTGGTACAAACACATCTGGCCTAGAGAGAAGCATAACAAACTTAAAATTGATCTCATCGTAGCCGTAAGGAGTTGCTAGTTCTGTAGCTTTTGCCAGATTTCCTAAGTCATTTCCACCAATTTGAAGTACAACAGGATGCTGCTCATGTCCATATGCCAAGAACCTATCCTGATAATAAATTCATAATGAAATGTGTAGGGTCAGATATATCTAAACTTACATACAAATATACAATACAAATAGCTTAAGTGTGAAAGCACTCGAAAAACACATACATAGCAAAGTATGAAATAAAGATTGTTTTCACACTAGTAATTAGTAACATTAGAAGACCTAAATAATGCAACTTGAGTATCATAGACATAGTTAATGAATGTGAAATATGAAAGAACTTGAAGTACTAGAGCAGCCAGCAGCAATGGTTTTTTTTAACACCAAAACACCATAAACAAATCTCGAGTTGGCAGAAAAGCTTTCCACTTTAGCATTTTGAGGGTTCACTTGGAATCCAAACTCCCAAACTCAAT